AGAACGAAAGAAAGAAAACGAACAACAAATGCTGGCAAGGATGAACAGAAGCAAACCCTTATGCACTGTTGGTGGAAGGTAAATTAGTGCAGCCACTATAGAAAGCAGCATGCAACTTCCTCAAAATACTAAAACTGCAACTACCATCTGACCCTCTGTCCCACTGCTGGGAATATATCAGAAGGAATGTAAGTCTACCTAAAACAGACACCTGCTCCCCGTATTTACAGCAGCACAGTTCACAGTATCCAAACTATAGAATCAGCCTAGATACAAATCACTGGATACATAAAGAAAATATGGTGTATGTACACAATAGAGTATTATTCAGTCATAAAATAGAATGAGCTGGCACCAATGGCTTATGCCTATAATCCTAGCCACTTGTGAGGCTGAGATTGGGAGAATCTTGGTGGGAAGCCAACACAGGAAAAAAAAATTTTAAAAACTAAACTTCTCATTCCCAACAGTGTAGGAGACCCTATCTTGAGAACATCCAACACAGAAAGGGCTAGTAGAATGTCTCAAGGTGTAGGCCCTGAGTTCACACCCTGGAACTGCAAAGTAAATAATTACATACATATATCCATAAGCAGATAACAAGCACATGGGAGACCAGCATCAGTACACAACAAAGCAAAAGCTTCATAACATCAAATTTCGTGACCTCTTAGTTGTGGCATCAAAGGCACAGGAAAAAAGAAAAACAGATGAATAGACCTTCATGAAATTTTTAAAGTTTTGTGAATTCAAGACTAAATAAAAAGGCAATTCAAAATGGGGATGAACCTCAGAGGTAGAGCCCATGGGTAGTATGTGCAAGGTCCTGGGTTCAAATCTATCAGAGACACAAGGACAATGGTAGGAAGGAGGAAGGAGGGGAGGGAGGAGGGAGGAAGGGCGGGATGGGCAGGTAGCAGGGAAGGACAGAAGGAAAGAGGAACAAATTACAGAAAAGGATTTCCTGAGTCTTCAAACCAAAAGAGAAGGCAGTTAAGAGACTTGGAGAAAATATTAGAAAATCATACATCTGACAAATCATTGATTTATAGAACATACAGAGAATGATAACTCTATGACAAAATAAAGCAAACAATGCAATTCAAAAATCGTCAAAGGACGTGAATAGACATTTCTCCAAAGAATAGGAATGACAATAAATACACAGAAAATTGCTCAACGTCACTAACCACTAGGGAAATGCAAATCTAAACTGTATCACCTCACACCCATTGGGTGCCTACACTCAGGGCAGAACAAGCCCATGGTGGCAGTGGAGGAATCCCAGTACTCAGGTGAGTGAGGAGGGAGGATCAGCAGACTAAGGCCAGCCTGGGATAAGAGGAAGACCTTGTCTCAAAAAAACACCCAAAAAATTAGGAAGTCACAAGTGTGGGCAAGGATAAGGAGAAATTAGAAACTTTGTGCACTTTTGGTAGAAACATAAGATGGTGTAGCCACTGTGAAAAACAGCGTGATGCTTCCTCAAAAAAATTAAAAAGACAATTTCCAAATGGTCCAACAATGATACTTTGGGGTAAACGGTAGATCCTTGGTATTCGCAGTTCCAAGGGGACCACTGTTGAGGATAAACCACAAATGTTCAGGATGCCAAGGGTTCAGTGCTACACAGAGGGGACTTCGCTCCTTTTTCCCCCAATACCATCCAACCTCTGCCAAGATGGACCACATTCCAACAACTCTCAAGTTTTGAATTTATCATTCAATTCAGCACATTACATTTAGATTGGGAAGATTACCATAACCTTTACCTTGCATTGGGGCAACATTGGCTTTTTGGGAGGCAGATTTTCACAGAATTCAGGGCAGTGTCCCACTCAGCAGATCACACTAGATTTAAACACACCTGATAATAACAAAAGATGGACGGAGAACTTCTTCACATCCACTATGACATATGTGGGAAGTTAAAATTATTGTCTTTGAAAGTTGTTTGGACAGGAAGGTCCTGTCTGGGGCCTTGGCACCCGTGGAAGGGAGGAGGACATGAGTAAAGGTTGTAGGAGGTGCATGTGATGGAATTACTATGTACTTACCATGTAAATGGAAAAGTGAGTCCTGTGAAAGTAATCCAGGAATGGGGGAGGGGATAAAGGAAAATAATGGAGGGGGTGTATTTAACTGTGATGTATTATATTATTGGTACGTGCAAAATGTACCCACTTACAATAATAATAGAAAAAAAAGTAAGAAAACTTCTTAGGGTCTGGGAGTGTGGCTCAAATGGTAGAGCCCCAGGGGTAAAGACCTGAGTTCAAAAACCCAGTACCACAAAGAAAATCTTCTTGATACCTCAGTTTTTTTATTCTTACTGACATTAGGAGAAAAAAGTCTCACACTCACATTAAAAATCCCAACTAGATGGGGTAGGAATGAGGTCTGGGTTGTGGAGCCCCAGCTTCCCATCTCTCTAGTGCAGACACCCAGGTGCTCACTCATACATGCTAGGGCTGCACCAGGACCAAAGGTCCCTGAGTGAGACACAGGTGAATTGGTTCAGACTAAACTAAGAAGCTTTACCCACCTGGGGTGCAGGTAGAGGCTTTTCTAGACCACACCCACCTGCCCTCCAATACTCACAAGTGTTGGGAATTTGACCTCCAAGCTCCTTCCCAACTCCACTGTGCTAAGCCAGGCCCTTTAGCCATGTCTCCTAGGGTTGCCTGGTCAGTGCCTGACACACACATGGCATTCAGCCTCAGTCATGACGGGAGGGGGCTGGTTACAGATACATCACATTGCTAATAAAATAAGAATTGCATTTATCCAGAAGGCACTCAGGCCCCTCAGGAGGCCTGTGGGGACCAGACCCAGCACCTTGTCACCCAGGCATAACCTAACTACACAGCTAATGAATGCCTTGTGAACCACATTTACAGTTAAAACACAGAAACCAAGAAGGACCTTAAAAGATAATTGAGTTTAAATACAAAACTATTTTTTATTTTGTTAAAATGTTTAAATTTTTTTGCTATTAATTTAAGTTGCATGCATTCATATTTCTCCAAACAGGATTGGTTGTTGTGGGGGTGGGGGTGGCTGCCTATGGCCATCAAAGAGAGCCACTGTCCAGTCCTGCTAGCCACACACAGGAGCCTGGAGACAACAGTTAAGTCCAGCACTAGCAAGAGTGGCCACAAATGCACTTCAGTTTTTCCTTCAAAGGAGTCAGGGCAACACACCTGAGCAGCAGACAGGACACAGGACAGGCTTGGAAGGTCCCATCCTTGAGATGGTAAGGTGAGGAGGGAGTGGAAAAAGTAGGCTACAGCCTGCCTGCTACTGGGGCTTGTCTCCTGGACCAAGGAGTCAGGACAGGGACAGAGCTATTCCTTGCAATCGTGCTGCCTATGGGCCTGCAGTTGCTGTCAAACCACTGGGGTCTTGGGTGCCACTCCGATGTGAAGTGAAGAGGTCACTGGTCCCAAAGGAACAGCTGTGAGCATGCGGTGGGTGGGTGCAGAGGAGGGTCCAAGCGCAAGGCTGCCACCCACTGTGCCCACCCCCAGGGGCAGGGTGCTATGGGCAAAGCTGGGCGTGGAAGCGCCTCTGGACAAGGCTTTGTGCTCAGGTCTGCTGTCCACCTTGAAGGCAAAGGCAAAGGCTGTGCTCTGGACACCTGTGCTCAGGGCGTTCTGACTCAAGTCACCCTCAAAGAAAGTAGAGGCTCCTCTGGTCCCGCTCTGGTCAACTCGGAAGTTGAATGATCCAGAGGTGGAGCTGGTGATTGGGGTGGCCACACCAACCCTAAAGCCCCCATGGTCAGCCGGGGACACTGAGCCCCCAAAGAAGAAAGGGGCCCGAGTGCAGTCACCAAGCTTGTAGCTACTGCTGTCTTTGCTAGTGGCCTGGGTGGTGGTGGCTACTGAGGAGGTCTGACAAAAGGCCGGCTGCCTGTGGGCTGTGGCATGGAGCACAGAGGCCGAGCCTTTCCCACCTTGGCTCACCAAAGGCACAGAGCCAACCAAGGCTGCCCTGGCACCAGGGCACTGCAGGTGGCCGAGGGGCCCCAGAGTTCACAAATGGGAAAGTACTGCCACAGTGCAGGGCAAGGGCTGGCTGGGGGCGTCCTGTTGATGCGCCTTCCTGACCCCAACTCTAGACTGTGAGTCACAGTCAAAGGGACCTTGGAAAGCAGGGGTGGTGGTGATGCCAACGGTCAGTGTCGGCTGACTGGTGGTTACCTTGGTGGAGTTGGTGAGGGGGCTGCTGAAACAGCTGAAGCCAGCTGTGCTGCCCTGCATGGTGGCCATCTCAGCAGCATTGGAGAGAGGCTGGCCCAAGGGTCGGGCTGCTACCGAGGCCTGCAGGGCCCCAGGCTGGCTAGACTGAAGCCTGGACACCATGATCCAGGGAAGCTGGTGGCAGAGGCATGGGGAACCCCAAAGAAGATTGGCTTGGAGGTAGAAACCATGGTTCTGATCGAGCTGCTCCTGCTGCTGCCCAGGCCATTCACCTCAAAGCCATACAAGCGTTTTGAAGCAGAATCTGTGGATGTGCACGCTGTGGTGACAGAAGCCGTGGTGGATGGGCTGGTGGCCAGGCCAGTGAAGACAGGGGCATTGGTGGGTCGAGTAGTTGTCTCCTTCACGGGCGTTGACAAGGGAAGGGAAGTAGGTGGCCCCATGCAGCCAAGGACAGGCTTCAAACTCAAGGTGGTGGAGCCAATGGTGGCTGAGAGGGTGGAGCTGAAAGAGGCTCCAGGTGTGGCTGAAGGGATCCAGGACATGGGGCTGTCTCTCGCGCTTTCAGATGGGGTCAGGAAGAGAGGCTGGGATATGGGACAAGCAGAAGACAGGCCAGGAGTGACAGGGGAAGGAGGCTTGGGTGGCCGGCTGCTCTGCACCTCAAACAACATGCTATTTGGGGTGCAGAGCAGTGAGCCTCCCAACCCTTCTACCCCTGCTACTCCTGGCATGTCTTCTCCAGGCTTCAGGGTGGGGGCGGAGTACAGGGAGCCTTGGGCTTTTGTAGAGGTTTCAGTCTGAGGGCCTGGAAGCACCTTGGTGTTCATGACTGCTGTCATGGAGGAAGCAGGGGACAGCGCTAGGAAAGCCAAGGATGAAGTGCCTGGCGGGGGACATGGCAGGGAAGAGACAGCAGGGTCCTGAAGACCACTTGTTTTGGGTTCTGAAGGGGCTGAAGTGGAGGTTTTTGAGGCAGGGTCTGTGGAGGCCAATGGACCACCAGGGCTCTCCATCTTCTTGCAGGTCGCCAGCAGCACATTCGAACTTGAGACCGGGAGAGAGTCCAGCGAGGGAGCAGGACTGGCTGCAGGCAGGGTGAGTGACAGGGGGCTGAGTAGGCAGTGACTTCTCAGGAACGGAAGTGGAGGCTGCATCAGTCTTGTCCTCCAAGGCCTTGTTAAACCACTGGAACCTCGCCTTCCTCTCCAGGTCCAGGTCTTCTGCAGTGATGGGACAGCCAAGCTGAGGAGGCGGAGGCAAGGTCAGTGGAACCCCTCGCCTGCAGGGCAGCAGCCGGGTCTTCCGTCTTCGGCTCCCTGACATGGCAGGTGTGGATGAGGAAGTTCTGGAGTCCTTCTGTGGCCCTGTAGTCCCATCTGCAGCCCTTTCACCCTGGAACTCCTTGGTGGTCCCCTGTGGAGCTGAAGAACTGGATGGATGACACAGCCCCTCTTCTCTTGCTTTCTTGACTGGTCTCTCTGACATCTGGGAGCCAGAGGAGGCCTGGCTAGAAAAGGGGGGTGAGGTGGGACCCCCTTTCTTCCACAGCTGTGAGATGCCTACTGTAGAGCTGTAGGAACTGGTGATGGTGTTTAGGCTAGAGCAAAGGAAGTCACCTGTTTGCATGCTTGACACAGAAGAGGTGCAAGATCGCTTGCTCCTGAGGTCTGAACTCTGGGAAGTAAGGCCTCTCTTTAGGGACTCAGGCTTAGGCACTAAAGAAGCATTAGCCAGCAGGGGTTCAGCTAAGGCATGTTCCCTTGCAATGCAATCAGGGTACCTTCTCTTATGTCCCTGCTCATCACCGAGTATTTGGTCTTCGTCCTTCTTGGTCCTTTTCCTCCCGTCTTCGAGGGCACTAGGTGGCAGCTCCTTTGCACCCGGGTCTGGCTCTGCATGGGCTGCAGAGCTGACCATGTGCTCGGGCCCTGGAGGACGCGGGCGCTTGCGGGGAGCGGGAATCCGCACGGTGTCCAGGCGGTACAGCATCGTGGAGTTCCGCGCAGACAGCACGGCCTTCTGGTGGTCACCGTCCCAGCACACGGTGGGCAGCGCCCCCAGCACGGAGTAGCGGGCCTGCGGGATCGGGCAGCGCAGTTGAGGCGTGATGGCCAAGTGGCAGGAGGAGGCGGCACTGTCGCCGCGGGGCCTGCGGGGGTCTCGGAGCAGCGGGGTGGGCAGCGACGGGCAGACGTGGAGGACGCACTGGGCGGCCAGAGGCGGCGGGGACCGCGGGGACGGTCGCTGGCCGAGCCTGTCCTGTGCACATGGCGGCGGGCCGGGCTTGCCCACGTAGCCTCTCATGGAGCAAAGCGGAGCTGACATCGGGGTCGGACCTGCGGACGGTGTGCTGGGACCTGCGGACCTTGCGTTATACCTGCGGGCGATGTGATGAGACCTGCGGACGCTGTGGCAAGATCTGCGGACAATGCGGTGGGAGCTGTGATCAGCGGTGATGATGGCTCTAGGGCTTCCGTTGACGTCCACGTGGCTGGAGGCGCGGAGATCTGCCAATGATCGCGGAGGCCAAGCATCCCAGCGAGCGGGAATCTGGCGCGTGACACTCAGGGATCGCGGCTCTGCCCCACGCGGCGGGAGCATCCGACATCCACGCGAGCCCCAGCGGTGACAGGCAGAGCAGGGCTGACCTGGCCCGTGCCAATATGCGCTTTGGGGCGCAGCAGCTCTGGAAACCCTTGATCGTTCTGATTTTATTATTTTTTCCTTCGGTTGACCTTAAATTACAGTCATGGTTGGTAGAACGCCTGCCCTATAAGTACCCTGAGGAGTTAAAATCCCAAAACTGACAAAAAATAATAATAATAGCTAAGAAGAAATTCAGTCAAATCGATGGCGCTTGGTCAATACTGCGTGCAATAAATCCAGGAAAAATTTTGACGTATGCTATAACATAGACGAACCGTGACGACATTTTGCTACATAAATAAACCAGTCACTAAAAACAAATAGTGGGTGAAACTGAAATACTTGAGACTAAGGAATCACTGAAGTAATAGAGTTTACTGAGCTGTTACACGTGACTGCCAGAGTAAGGACCAGGTCCCTAAGCTACCACAGCAGGATGAGGGAGCATTGGAAAAGCATCCAGTGGACTAGGGCTAAGAGACCATTTGGGGAAGAAAGGCTTAGGTGTTCCCATTGCCCCAGGGAAGCTTCAGCAGAGGAGGAGGGTCCAGGAGGAGCAGCGCCTGCTTCTTGGGAACTGGTTGAGCTGTAAGCAAGACAGGAGGCACCCGGCAGGATTGATGGTGTGTGGGTAATGGTTTCACAGACATTCAGGAATGTAAAAGGCTCTTTAGTTCTTTTTTAGCTGAGGCTTGTAAACTGATTAATATCTCCTGCTCTCCTCCCTTCCATCCTCTGGCCCTTAGAATGAAATTTAGAACATCTCAGAATTTCGTTCCTGTCAACTGTGTGATTCCACTTAACATCCTCAAAATCACTGAGACACAAGGTAGAATGGCAGTGTCCAGGACCAGGAGTTATTCAGTGAGATGCAGTTTCAGTTTTACAGGATGAAGAGTTCAAGAAGTGAATGGCTTGATGGCTGTGCAACATTAAGACCTATTTAATTTTCCAGAACTGTGCATTTGAAGAAGGTTAGGATGCTAATCTTTATGTTGTGCATTTGATTGCTACAGAAAACAGTAGGAGGGGCCCAGGCACCAGTGGCTCACACTTGTAATCCTAGCTACTCAGTGGCAGAGATCAGGAGTATGGAAGCTGGCCAGAGCAAATAGTTCCAGAGACTGGATCTCAAAAATACCCAACACAAAACAGAGCTGTTAGAATGAGCTGTTGTGTTTACCCTTGATCTAATGTCCGTATATGAGGGAGAACATTTGATTTTTCGTATTTTGGGCCAGGCTAACTCATTCAGAATGATGTGTTCCAATTGCATCCAATTACCTGCGAATGATAACATTTGGTTCTTCTTCATGGCTGTATAAAATTCCATTGTGTATAGATACCACATTTTCTTAATCCATTCATTAGTGGTGGGGCATCTTGGCTGTTTCCATAACTTGGCTATTGTGAATAGGGCTGTAATAAACATGGGTGTGCAGGTGCCTCTGGATAACCTGTGTCACATTCTTTTGGGTATATCCCCAAGAGTGGTATTGCTGGATCATTTGGTAGATCAATGTCTAGCTTTTTAAGTAGCCTCCAAATTTTTTTCCAGAGTGGTTGTACTAGTTTACATTCCCACCAGCAGTATAAGAGGGTTCCTTTTTCCCGCATCCTCTCCAACACCTGTTGCTGGTGGTGTTGCTAATGATGGGTATTCAAACAGGGGTGAGGTAGAATCTTAGTGTGCTTTTAATTTGCATTTTTCTTTATGGCTAGAGATGGTGAGCATTTTTTCTTGTGTTTTTTGGCCATTTGAATTTCTTCTTTTGAGAAAGTTCTGTTTAGTTCACTTGCCCATTTCTTTGTTGGTTCATTAATTTTGGGAGAATTTAGTTTTTTAAGATCCATATATATTCTGGTTATCAGTCCTTTGTCAGATATGTAGCTGACAAATATTTTCTCCCACTCTGTGAGTGGTCTCTTCAGTTTAGAGATCATTTCTTTTGTTGAGCAGAAGCATTTTAGTTTTATAAAGTCCCATTTATCTATGCTATCTCTTAGTTGCTGAGCTGCTGGGGTTCCATTGAGAAAGTTCTTGCCTATACCTTTTAATTCTTTCCTGTACCAACTTTAGAGTATGGGGTCTGATATTAAGATCCTTGATCCATTTTGAGTTAATATTGGTATAGGGCTATAAACATGGATCTAGTTTCAGTTTTGTGCAGACTGCTAACCAGTTTTCCCAGCAGTTTTTGTTGAAGAGGCTGTCTTTTCTCCATCATATATTTTTAGTGCCTTTGTCGAAGACAAGTTGGTTATAGTTGTGTGGGTTCATATCTGGGTCCTCTTTTCTGTTCCACTGGTCTTCATGTCTGTTTTTGTGCCAGTACCATGCTGTTTTTATTGCTACTGCTTTGTAATATAGTTTGAAGTCAGGTATTGTGATACCTCCTGCATTGTTCTTTTGACTGAGTATTGCCTTGGCTATTCGTGGCCTCTTGTGTTTCCATATAAATTTGATGGTATATTTTTCAATCTCTTTGATGAATGTCATTGGGATTTTGATGGGAATTGCATTAAACATGTAGATTCCTTTTGGGAGTATAGATGTTTTTACTATGTTGTATTCTAGGCTTCCCACTGTTGCTGGGATGACAGATGCATGCCACCACACTGATCTATTGAATGGGTTGGGGTCTCAATAAATTTTTCACCCAGAGTAGCTAGGATTACATGTATGAGCTGCTGCACCTCGCTGAAAAATTTTAATACATAAAAAGCAAGTTTTGGGCTGGTAGAGTGGCTGAAGTTGTTAGAGCACCAGTCTAGCAAGTGCGAAGCCCTGAGTTCAAACACCAGTACCACCAAAACAACAACAGGTTGTGAGCCAGTGACATTTTATTACTTGTACTGTTGTTACCTGCTGGCATTTTTTTCCTATTTGAGCAGCACCATCACATGTTCGGTGTAATGTCTCTGGAACCATAGGCCAGAGTTTAACCATAGAAAGTATTTAGTTAATGATAACTGTACATATTTCCCTCAAAAATAATTTCTCCATATGACCAGTTAGGTTCTACTTGGTCATCTTCAGCCAAGGGCAAGTTCTTGACTACTTGACTAGTGCATTCCATGAATAGACACTTCTCAACATTTAGAAGATCTTTCCTAGAGGGTGTGCTAGTTAGCTTTTAGTTGCTGTGACAAAATACCTCATGTAACTTAAAACACGAAAAGAGTTATTTTTGCTCAAAGTCCAATCCAATGTCAACTGGCTCCGTTCCTTTTGGCCTGAGGTAAGGCAGAGTGTGATGTGTAGAAGGCTTGGTGGGTCAGAGTGCCAGGCAGCGGAGACGCCGTAGAAGGGGCTAGGGACAAGATATACCCTTTAAAGACACATTCGCAGTGACCTACCTCCTCCAGCTCAGACCCCACCTCTCAGTTTCCACTACCTCTCAATAATGCCATCAATTTATGAATCCATCAGTGGATTCATCCATTGACTAAGTTAGAGCCCTCACAATCCAGTCATCCCCAAGGAGTGCCACCAGCTGGGGATCAAGCTTTCCACACACGAGACTTTTGGGAGGACATTTCATATCTAAATCACAACAGATGGAGTTGAAAGCTGCCTTTCTATAACTTGTACAGATTTTTCCTACTTGGCCCTCTGAGGTCAAAGTGGCAAATCAACCATGCATTCCCATGTGATATTCCATTTCCATTTTTCCCATGTTAAACATCCTAATCCCATAGTGTTTTCCTTACATAACAGATTTTCTTTTAATCGATAAATAATAATGGCATACATGCAGCACAAGGAGATGGTTTGATATAGTACACGTTGAGGAAGGATTCTATCAAGGTAATGAAGGCATCCATGCCTTGCATACTTACTGTTTTTCTAATGAGAACATTTATTCTTTGAGCAATTTTGAAATATACAATGTACTATTATTAACTGTGGTCACCTTGCTGTGCAATAGAACTTGGAAATACTGTTCCTCCTTTCTTCCTGGAACTCTGCTTGCTTTGTTCAACTTTTCTCCATTCTGTGCCCCTCCCCTCAAGTTTTCTTTTTTCTGTCTTTTCAAAAAAAATGCGATGGGATTGGAGGTATGGCTCCAGTGGCAGAGGGCCTGGTTTGCAATCATGAAGCCCTGAGTTCAAACCCAATTGTTGTTTTCTACCAAAACAACAAAAGTCTATGAAGGTTTTATTTTTGGGGTGCTCTGAATGAAATGCAGGGCCTGCACATGCTAGGCAAGCACTCTGTCACTAAGCTACACCCTCACTGCGTCCCCACCCTTTTTTAATGCTGACTATGCTCATGAATCTATCTTTTTAGTTTTATTTTAACTAATTAGTTGAAAAATACTTGGGACTGGGATCTGGCTGTGTCGCCCAGGCTGGCTACATGTCCTGGATTCAACTGATTCTTCTCCCTCATCCTCCCAGTTATGTGGGACTACAGACTCAAACCTCTGCACCAGCAACGACTCCAACCACTAATGGGGACAGGAAAAAAGAGGAGGGGACTGGTCCTGCAGAGTCAGCAGGAGCAGGGTGGAAAACAGGCTTCTGATGGTGATGGCAAAAACGTCATGCAGACACACAGGAATGAAAATTAAGAGTAGAAACATTGGCGACAGTTGTCCACATTAAGGAGCATATGTAAGACCCTCTCTCCTGAACCCCTCCTATTTATTGGTGATCCTTATAAGGTGAGCTTCAGAAACTGCCCCTCTCCCTCCACCCAGGCTTCAGGGCAGATGGCTGCCTTTGTTGCCAGAAACAGAGATGCACTGTAAGGGCACTTAGATTTTTAGGAGGTCACCCCACTAAACCGCTGAGTCTCAGGGTTAGAGCCCTGGGCAAATGGAGGGCAGGGCAGTCTACTTTTGATGAAGAAACTAGGCTGGACAAATGTTATCTGGGAAAATGGATGTTCTGGGAGAAGCAAAGCTACATCAGGGAATATAATAGATGGAGAAACGGGAGAAGGAAAG